TGCTACATGTACTGAATTTTTTTTATCAAATTCCTTACTGACTACTCACAATAGGGGGTGGGGACCACATCTTGGAATTTTTTTATTCACGCGAGGCCCGCATGCATGTGAGAAGGGCTAAACAATTCGGTAGATTTTTTTATGTACAAATATCTTTATCCTAAGTTTTTTACTCGCAATCTTGCATTCTTATCAACGAACTTCCATTTATTAACACATGGTTTTCAATGGCAATTTATGTTATCGTGCTTTAAAATAAAAAAAAATAAAAAAAGATTTAGTCATACTTTTATGTTATTTTATTTGCTTATTTAAAAATACGAGAATCATAACATAATTTTTGAATAAAAANTTTTTTTTATCAAATTCCTTACTGACTAGTCACAATAGGGGGTGGGGACCACATCTTGGAATTTTTTTATTCACGCGAGGCCCGCATGCATGTGAGAAGGGCTAAACAATTTGGTAGATTTTTTTATGTACAAATATCTTTATCCTACGTTTTTTACTCGCAATCTTGCATTCTTATCAACGAACTTCCATTTATTAACACATGTGGCAATTTTCGTCCAAAAATTATGTTATTGTGCTTTAAAATAAAAAAAAAAAAAAAGATTTAGTCATACTTTTATGTTATTTTATTTGCTTATTTAAAAATACGAGAGTCATAACATAATTTTTGAATAAAAACTATATGTGTTAATTAATAGAAGATTGATGATACGAATGTAATAAAAAAAAAGTCGAAAACATAAGTATGACAATAAAATGCAAGGGAATATATCGGAGAATGCTTTTGATTGTCAGTAAGATATGGATTTGTTGAACTTGAGATACCATAATAAATTTACTCATTATCCTTCAAATAGCGAGTCTGAATTAATGAACGATAAGTCGAAAAGATACTACCCTCTCGACAGTTGACCGCGAGAAATGTGGCTAGATTACATGAAGTGTAGTTTTTGAGTTTCTACAATAAGTTAATTCTCTTTTGCACCTTTAACTAGAGCTCCTGCTGAGTCCCATACAAAATATGTACTGTTATTTAAATTTTGTGAAATATAAGAAATACTGAATAATATAAGAAATTTTGATTATAAAATTTTCCCGTGTATCTGAAAGTATGAACAGGGATTAAATGGACAAGTCCATATGCTGTCCTTTTAAAAGATTAACATTATTGACTAAAAGTTGATTATTCTAAGAATTCCAATAAATTGACCTGCCTGCCTGCCTTCTTGTCGGCAATATTATTGTCTTCCTTCTTGCTACTCAAAATCAACCCACCCTATGTTTATCTCTGAAGTTCTTCATAAACAAATAATGATATGTTTGATTATAAGAATGAGATTTGGGTGGAAAGAAAATGAATTTTAGGGAATTGAATTGTCTAGAAATTATTTTATTGGGAATTGTCAATTAATTGTATTTGATTGGTATAATTTTTCACCTGAAAATATTGAAATTTTGGATATTATCGTGTTCGTTTGACTTTGTTTTTCACTAAAATTGTTCATTAAAGGAATAGANTTGTCAATTAATTGTATTTAATTGGTATATAATTTTTCACTTGAAAAATATTGAAATTTTGGATCTTTTGGTGTTCATTTGATTTTATTTTTCATGAAATTGTCAATTAAGAGGATATAATTTGTTTCAATTAAAAAATAAAAATAAAAAACTACCTAGAAAAGCTTTTCCCACCAAACCCATGAGAAAAGCTTTTCCTCAAAAACTAAGAAAATGTGAAAACTAATTCCATAAAAAAATTTGTCAATCAAACATGAAAAAATGTGGAANAAATTATTTGTAGCTAACTAAATATCATAAATGCTTGTGTTTTGAATTAAGCTTTTTTGTGAGAAAAAATTTGCACATACACTCACATGGGAGTGAGACTTACGTGGGACCCATGTGAATAAAAAATTTTAAAAAAATTTCTCCCCCTATTATAAGTGCGTTATCAAGTAACATAGTAGCTTTGTTATGTTTTCTAATTCTTCATGGTAATCAAGTAAGGTGATTTTTCGTGCCTCTATAAACAAGAAACGTGTTACCATAAGTACGACGCATCAGTAATATTTTTCCAACTCCGTACAGTCACCAACTCGTGTATGTAGAGGTAGACAAGAGAAGAATATTTAAATTTTGTTTCATTTCAGATGATTCCATGCAGTCCATCTTTTTCCAACCAAAAACATTTCAGGTGAAGTCGTGTTTCCTGTTTAACTTTTACGAGACCCGAGGAATCTGTTATTAGCTTCGTTCTTTCTTAAGTGAATTACAACTTGGCGTGAGTTAAGATATTTAATTTTGTTGTTGCGTAATTGCATAACCAAACAAGCTGAAAGACATTAAGGTTTAAATTAAATAAATCTAAATTGTGTTAAATGTACAAATGCTCATCTTATTTTTCAGCTAGAAATTAATTAATTAATAATTCTTTTTTTTTTTATAACCATGGATGTCCCGACCAGCTTGCGCGCACCTCGACTAATCCCACGGGACTCTGAAATTTACGATCGGGTACTCACTTCAGTAACCCTGAGGGGACTCGAACTAGTGACTAATTAATTAATAATTATATAATACAAATCCCAAACTTTCTTTTGGCCATGTTTGGTTAGCTTAAAAAAAAGTTGCTAAAAATCTAAGTTATAGTCATAATTAATTTTAACTACATATTTTATTAGACAATTTTTTTCAATTTTTCAATCACAAATTTCATATATAGCTACACCAAATTGGACTTGATGTTGGAAGCATAATTAGTAGATAACCATATAATCTTAGAGTCATTTGTCATAGATATAAAACTTACACGATGACATTGATGAAACCTCGCCTAGATTGATGGCATAAGCTAAACACCGGTGCTTAGAATATCAATTCCGTGTGTGTGTGTAATATGTTAGCGTGGAGACTGTGTAGAAAGTTATAGAAAATTATATATATTGTACGGAAACCCCTATTTATAGACAAATTAGGATATTTAGGTCGGCCACATGTTGCTTGTCGGGAGCAACATGTGGCAAGAATCTTCAAAATTTGGCAGCGACGCCACTCTCGATCCCAACGTGATGCTTCATGTTGTAAGTGTTTAAGGCCCACGTAAACGTCCCGATCAAGTGTAAGACTCGTCCACATAAATTTTGTAGTATCTATAAGACTTACCAAGACAAAAGTTACGACTCTTGATTTTTGTTCATAGAAAGTGTGTTCAAAGCATTGAATCATTTCATTTAGTACGAGATCACACTACGCGGTGCTTTGCTTACAGTGCACCTCTGGTCTATCAAAGTTTTTTTCATCGTCCAAGAACAAATGCAAGTGAAAAATCCTCGTGATTGAATCCCAGTGGATACACCTTTTGTTTCAAGTCAAGTACATTTGACCAGGTAAAACATCTTGTTAAATTGTAAGATTTGTCCCGGTAAATGTCCCTGATCATGGTGGATGTAGGTGGGATTGGGCCGGCCAATAGCCCGATCCAATCCTGGCCCATTTAGTTTTTATGTGTAAAAAAAATACGTAAAACCAATTTTTTGTGTAATTTTATATTTTTCATTTAGTCCAAAAACCAATTGCAACACTTATCCACGTAAATGTCCTAGGCAAGTGTAACACTTGGATAAACATTCCGGTCAAATGTAGGACAAATTGGACTAAACAAGTGTAACCATGGCTAGTTGAGCATTGTTGGACCATCTTGAGGGCAGGCTTTGCATGTGCTCGAACACGGCTGGTTGAGTATAGCTCAACCACTTTGGTGCTGGCCGAGGTCCAAAGAACTTGGACTCATCTACTTGCATGTCAATTACTTGGGTGGTCTTTCATCCCTGTCTTGGTATTGGCACATGTGGGTTATTTTCAAATTTCGACTATAAGACGAATTTTATCATTGTCAAAAGGATCTCCATCCAATTATATCGATTGTGCGATTTAAAATCCTTAATCCATATTAAAAAAAAGGTATCATTTTAATTTTTTGTTTGGTGGATATTCCATGTTATACTGTATCCCTGAAATATTACTTTATATATTCAATGAAGTGCGACATTAGTTTCCGGAATAGACTGACAAAAAGTAAGTTTTATATATAATTCAAGATATATCTTATTTTCTGCAACTTATAATTCAAGATATTGATTTCTTATTATAAAAGTTAGCATTGAATATTGAACTTCTTGTATCTTTTCTTATTTATATTATATAGCACGCTATAAGAGGTATTAAACAGTTTTCAAATCAATCACTTTAAAAAGTGCTAATATTAATATTAAAAATTTGAAGTTCATCTTAAAATTTGGTTAAAGTTTTCATCTATCTTCCAACTGAGATTTTACGCCTTGACAAAAACAAGCTTAGCTTTTAAGGAACTTAAAACTACGTTAAAAAGTAGAAATTAGGTTTTCATTAAATAAACATTTTTTCGAACATAATTGCCACGATCATGTGTTTATAATTACACAAACT